AGGAGGGAGAAGTCAGGCAGAAATCTGTTTGGGAAATGATGGACCCATTCACATCCATAGGAAGTAAGTCAGGACTGATTGGAGGGAAGAGAAGAGATTCTGTTTTTAGAATAATTGTCTTTGTATTTATTATGTGTTTTCTATGTGCCTGAGCACAATTCTGAGTGCTTTACATAACAGTTTTATGAACAGGTGCTGTTATTATCCCTACTTTCAAATTGAGGAAACCGAGGCAGAGATGATTGGTAACTTGCCTAAGGATCACACACTTAGTAAGTGGCAGAGAGAGCCAGGATGCAAATCTGTACAGTCTCATCTCTGGAGATTATCATACTAACTGAAGTAAGTCAGAACGAGAAAGATAAATACCATATGATATCACTTATATGTGGAATCTAAAGTATGACACAAATGAACTCATCTACGAAACAGAAACAGACTCACAGACATAGAGAACAGACGTGTGATTGCCAAGGGGAAGGGATGGAGTGGGAGTTTGGGATTAGCAGATACAACCTATTATATATAGGATGGATAAACAACAAGGTCCTACCATATAGCACAGGGAACTATAATTTCAACACCCTGTGATAAACCATAATGGAAAAGGATATGAGAAAGAATATATATGTGGATACCTGAATCACTTTGCTTAGAGCAGAAATTAACGCAACATTGTAAATCAACTATACTTCAATAAAATAAATTCAAAAAAAATTTAGAAACCTCAAAAAAAATGAGTCAAGCTCTTACCTAGGGTGCTTTCTTGCTTCACTGTAATAACTAGCATTTATTACAAACTGCAGTGCTGTGTTAAGCTCCTTGCATGTATTTATCGCATTTGATTTGCATTAGGACTCTGTGAAATGAGGGTGTTTCTATCATCATTTTCCAGATGTGGAAACTTGGGCACAGAAAGCTTTAGTGGCCTGCCTTAGGTCACACAGCTAAGCCTTGCCTACGTTGGGGTGGCAGGTCTCCAGAAGTCAACAGTATTTATTCAACCAGGTTGTAGTATCTGCATGTGCCCTTACGACCCACTCATGAGAAGATTGAATTGATTGAAATATATTGCAATATAAATTCTTGAGAATTTTTGGATTCAGTTTACTGTCAACATTGCTCATATGGACTAGGAAGTACTCCTTTTTTTTTTTTTTTTTTTTTGGCCATGCCACGTGGCTTGTGGGATCTTAGTTCCCCGACCAGTGATTGAACCCAGGCCCACACAGGGAAAGCACCAAGTCTTAACCACTGGACTGCCAGGGAATTCCCAGAAGTATTCCTTTTTCAAAGGGGATAAATAATTGAAATAATAGCGTCTCCATTTACCACTGTGCCCATTTTCATTATTTAATGCACTGTATGACTTTAAAAATAATCCTAACCACTTCATTCCCACATTCTGGCTCCTCCATTTAGATGCTCAGTCGAGAGGGCCCACAGTCTCGTCCATAGCACTTTTCATACTGTTGGTGCTCAGTAACATTTTTTTTTTAACATCTTCATTGGAGTATAATTGCTTTACAATGTTGTGTTAGTTTCTGCTGTATAACAAAGTGAATCAGCTAAACGTGTGCATATATCTCCTCCCTCTTGCACCTCCCTCCCACTCTCCCTATCCCACCCCTCTAGGTGTCACAAAGCACCGAGCTGATCTCCCTGTGCTATGTGGCTGCTTCCCACTAGCTAGCTATTTTACGTTTGGTAGTGTATATATGTCCATGCCACTCTCTCACTTCATCCGAGCTTACCCTCCCCCCTCCCCGTGTCCTCAAGTCCATTCTCTACATCTGCGTCTTTATTCCTGTCCTGCCCCTAGGTTCTTCAGAACCTTTTTTTTTTTTTTTAAATTCCATATATATGTGTTAGCATATGGTATTTGTCTTTCTCTTTCTGACTTACTTCACTCTGTATGACAGACTCTAGGTCCGTTCACCTCACTACAAATAATTTAATTTCGTTTCTTTTTATGGCTGAGTAAAATTCCATTGTATATATGTGCCACATCTTCTTTATCCATTCATCCGTCTATGGACACTTAGGTTGCTTCCATATCCTGGCTATTGTAAGTAGAGCTGCAATGAACATTTTGGTACGTGACTCTTTTTGAATTACGGTTTTCTCAGGGTATATTCCCAGTAGTGAGATTGCTGGGTCATATGGTAGTTCTATTTTTAGTTTTTTAAGGAACCTCCATACTGTTCTCCATAGTGGCTGTATCCATTTACATTCCCACCAACAGTGCAAGAGGGTTCCTTTTTCTCCACACCCTCTCCAGCATTTATTGTTTGTAGATTTTTTGATGATGGCCATTCTGACCGGTGTGAGGTGATACCTCATTGTAGTTTTGATTTGCATTTCTCTCATGATTAGTGATGTTGAGGATCCTTTCATGTGTTTGTTGGCAATCTGTATATCTTCTTTGGAGAAATGTCTATTTAAGTCTTCTGCCCAGTTTTGGATTGGGTTGTTTGTTTTTTTGATATTGGGTGCTCAGTAACATTTGATGATTATGATTGAACTTACTGTTACTCTTCTGTGAATCAAGGCTGCTGAGCATCTTCTGATCTGGGGGTGTACTTTGCATGACATCATGGAGCTACAATTGATGCCATGGTTGGAAGGTGCCCAGATGAAATATTTGTCTGGCTAACAAAGTGGAACTGAGACTGGTCATTTATACACACCTTCAGGGGGCAACTTCATCCCTTCTTTAGAGCACCTTTGGTCTGTCCCCCTCCATGGATTCTGTTTCTTCTATCTTCAAATGCCAGCAGGCCTCCTATTTTTTTTTTTTTTTTAACTTTTAACCTTGTTTGACTACAGATCTATTTCTTCTGTGGTTTCTCCTGCCACAGCTCTCTAAGAAGAGGTCTACACTTGCAGCCTTTAACCTTGAAGCCAACAGAAACTTCCCCTCAACTGAAATTGGATTTCCTGTGGTGTCTTTCTAACCAGGTCTGGGGAGGCTTGGTTCGTTCCCTTTGAGCTTTTGCTCAGCATCTACCCTGGGACCGACCCACCTTCTCTTTAGCCTCTCCGCTTCCTTTTTGGTGGTCTCATTTTCAAAAATCTCCTTTGACTCTTTCCTACCCCCTCTTAGCTGGTAAGATCGGTACTCATTGTGTTCCTCTTTTGTCTACAAACCCTTTCCTTGGATTATTTGTTCCTGCCTTTTAACTTCACAGGTATTACTTTTCCTCCACCATCGGAATTTCGGGTTGTCGGGTGAGAAGTCCATCTACCGCCCAGGTAGCACCTGGGAGCAGGTCTCTTGCTTCTTCCGTCCCTGTCCCTTTCTGACCCTCCCTTTCTTCTTCTTTTTCTTTCTTTCTTTTTTTTTTTTTGTGGTACGTGGGCCTCACTGTTGTGGCCTTTCCCGCTGCGGAGCACAGGCTCTGGACGCGCAGGCTCAGTGGCCACGGCTGACGGGCCCAGCCGCTCCGCGGCATGTGGGATCTTCCCGGACCGGGGCACGAACCCGTGTCCCCTGCGTCGGCAGGCGGACTCTCAACCACTGCGCCACCAGGGAAGCCCTGACCCTCCCTTTCTATCTCCGTCTTTGTCCTGAACTTGTGGAGAGGCTCCTGGTATGGCCTACTCCTGCTGCCGCCCCTTCCTCTACCTGGCTTGGATGGCTTTTGCTCTTCATAACCCATGTCAGTTCTGTCTCTGACCTTGTATGTGTGCAGGGGGCACAAATCCCAGGCACATGAACCATTCCCCCCATGATCCTGCAGAAGGAGCTGAAAGCCCCCTAGGGGCTCTGTTATCCTGGTGCCCCAGCCCATCTCACGCAGGTCATATGTGAGTCAACCTTTTGTATTTTTCATGGCACTCTAGCCGCTAATGTGCTCTTCCTCTGGCAGTCTCAGATCTTTCTCTTTTCGTCTCAAATCCTTGCTGTGGGTTCTGTGGCTCCTGCCGACCTGAGGACCAGAGCTTTTCACTGGTTTCCGTGAATCTAGTTGACCTCTGGTATCTCACTGTGCATGAGTGTCTCCATGGTATATATCTCTGGTACATGTCTGTCTTTTCTGTCTCCTCTTCTGATAGTGTGAAAATCCAGCCCACTTCTTTTTCTTTAGCCTAAAGCTAAACCTTGTATCTTTGTTTCCTTATTCTGACATTGAACACTGTGTACTTTAAGCTCTGGAGTGTAAGGACTGTGTGTCCCTTTATGGGGATTTTCTCCCAGCACCTAACAATGCTTTTGTAGATCACAAGTAATGAACAGATACTTGCCTTCATGCTACAGATGCATGTGTGCACAAATGAATGAATGAATTGGCTGCTGTGAATTTTCTAAGGTTCAAGTTTCATATTCAGAGTCTGTAGTTTATATCTTTAAACTAGTTTCCTATGTAGGAAACCTCTCTAGGCATTAGGTTGATCAGGCTGCAACCCAACATAGGCCAGGAAATCTCATGATCTGATCATTAAAATAAGATTTTCATTTTATGCCTTATTATTTGAAACTTAGAGATAGTCCTTTTTTGATGACCATCACCATATAAGGAGAATTGCATAGAAATAACTGAATTCACAAAGTTTTAAGAAAAAGCCAAGTTAATCACGATCATGTACATTTTGCTTAAAGAGTGACAGCCCAGTAGTTTTTTTTTTAATAGTGTAAGATTTTGTTTTTGTTGTTTCTAGACTGGGTGTCAGCATGTCAGTATCATTGCAATGGCCCATGTTCAGAGTGGAAACTTGACCCTGCTGTGTGTTTAACCCAGCGAAGGCCATGGCATCCAGCAAGTCTTGGCTTGCATACCAAGGGTGACCCTCAGGATTAATTGAGGGTTGCAGAAAATAACTTAATTTTCTAGATGAACTTGAGAAACTTTAAAAAGAACTCTGCCCATAAATAGCTGGGCAGCTTTGTCCTATTTTTATTGTCGAGTACACAGAAGATGGAAATCAATATTGGAAGAAATCCTTATTTCGCCTAAGAAAAAGATCACATTCAACACGATTTTCATTTTTCTTGGCAGGCTCTTCTCAACCATCTGTGAGTCCAGAGGAACTGTCTCCACCATCCATCCATCCAGCAAAATCAGAGTTAATTGTCAGTGTCGGCGATGAGATTAGGCTGCTATGCACCGACCCAGGATTTGTCAAGTGGACTTTTGAGACTCTGGGTCAACTGAGAGAGGAGACATACCCAGAATGGATCACCAAGAAAGCAGAGGCCACAAATACAGGCAATTACACGTGCACCAATGAAGGCGGCTTGAGCGGTTCCATTTATGTGTTTGTTAGAGGTAAATGCTCAGCTTTCTTTGATGCTATACTTAGAGAACTTTATATCCTGTCCTTAATTAGGGATGACATATAGATGGCTGAGTCATGGATAAAATATTACTGGCTGGGTCTAGGAAGCGTGAGACAAAAATTTTTATTGTTAGTTTCCCCCATCTTTTGATACATAGTGGCTTTGGGTATAACTCCAGCTGAAGGTCTGCAAGGCTGTGATACTCTTCCTAATGAGATTACAATATGGTTTGGCCCATTTGTCCTGGTGATGTGAGTAAACCCTGAGAATAAATTAGGCCCTTTGGGAAGGCGGCATTTTAATGCCTTGAGATTCCAGATACTCCCACTTAGTAAAAACATTTCAGGGAACTAAAGGCTTCTAAAGGCCTAAACAGACCAAAGCTTCAAATGAATTGATCCACTTTTAGGGAGTAAATTCCAGAAAAATAACTCAGTTGGCTAAGCAGCCCCTGTCCTTCCTAGGTTCTTAATAGAAGTCAGTTCATTCACGTAAAAAATTGTGACCTCCTGGAAGCAAAAAGGAAAATGTGATGGTTGGATTTCTGAACCTCATGTCATGTGATGAATGCAGTGATTCATTTGTGTTTTGTGCTTTTAATATCCTTGTCAGGAGGAGATTTCCTAGGGGGCTAGGGGCAGGGATAAGGGCGGAGTCTCTTTTTGCTGATGTAAAAACTGAAGCACTTTTAGCTTAAGAGACATACCCACATTATAAGAAGAGAAATAGTGTCAGTTCTAGTCCTGGGTTTGTACCTGGCCTGGGGTTGTCCTTGCAACCTCATGCATGCTATTGTGGAAGAGGACCAAATAAATTTATCCTAGGCTGTGGACCTGAGCCATCCCTAGAGTCACTGTTCCTCACGGCAACACTTGGATAAGATCGCCTGCTCTGTCTTCCTTATGTAATTGTTATCAGGGAGACAAAATTGTGCAAATGCTACTTCTGTCAAGGGTTAGTAAAATTGACTCTCGTGTTCTCTGTACAGAAGGTTGCCGTGAAACTGACGCTGCCTCCCCTTAGTTTATCTTTTACTCTTTCCTGGGTGGGTCGCTGCAAAGAAAGACACGTTGAAAAGCCACAGCTAGCCTCCGGGTATGGTTCCATAATTGTTGAGCCAACCATGTTCTGTTCTTTGACATTCAAGAAGGTACTCTGTAATTTCCAGGTGGTAATGAAGTGTCATTCTGCTTATTAATAGGATGGGTAGACAGCTGAATAAATAGGGAAACTGCTGCATTAGCCAAATCAGTCTCACAGAGCTCACAGATTTTCTTGATGGGGGAAGTCATCCCCAATAACTTAGGACTATACTTAATTATTACCGATTTAAGATGTTTGGATGCTTAAGAAATTTGTCTTAGACAGCAATGAGGGAAATTGGGGCATTGCTGTAGGAACTATGACTCAACTGACTGAGAAAGAGTAGATGGAAAATTAACCAGCTATAGCCTCGAACCATGTTTCAGCCATTATGAGATAATTTGTTTGCAGAATAACTTAGTAAGGCTGGGAGGTGCATAATTTGTTTTGGAAAACTCTTTGAAAATTTGTCAAAATTCTATGATAAGTATATTTCAATTATGTCATTGATTTTTGTGGAACACCCGATTTACAGATGGAAAGGACAATTAAAAAACATTTTAAGTGTAATCTGTTGGGCCCAACCCTGTATCTGTATTACCTTTACACAGTAGAGGCGGCAGCATATTGTGTATACAGAATGAGGTTTGTATTTGCTTATATGAGGTCCCAGTCGACCGGAGGCTTTCCCAGTCCATGCCTGGTGTCCTGGCATAATTATTAAGAGTACCCCCTTCAGTCACAAGTATCCTGGTTTGGACGATCAAGTATTTGCCATAGCATTTCTGAAACTCATAAGCTCCCCGTTTGCATATCAATTTATTTGATTTCTAGAAGTTCTATTTATACATACCTTTCAAGGAATATGAATAGAGTGAGGCCCACATGTTATTTATACTGTGTGGCCTCCTGATAGTTTTCTAGATTCTATTCAGAAGCTGGAGGATCCTGGAGACTGGGAACTCTGGAAAGAGGCCCACGCAGAGGGGTTAGGGTATTGTAGGAATGAAAACACTAAACGACAATTTTATGATGATTCAGTTTTGTTCATTTTCAGTCTTAATTGTATTGTTGTTACTTATAAGCTGATTGAAATTTATCTTAATGAAGAAAGAATTGTGTGGAAAGTCCCTGTGCTCAGGGTGTTCACCTGGTGGTTCTTAGGAACTTTCTGAAACCCGTGTTGTTACAAACAATGGAGATGCCGGTAATTCTCTCACTTTATAAGGAAAAACATCTGGACCCCTCCAGCTCATTCTCCACATTGATGTACTCTGCACTGTTACTACCGATTATCATCCAGGCTTCAGGCTGACCCATGGGGTTCCCATGTTCCTTTCTTCTTAGCACATCTTGAGTACTGATAACATGGGTTTAGTCCCCTTTTTAAACATTTCTTATTTTTTTCCCTTTCCTCTCATTGAATACCCTCACATGGCTCCTAGATCGTGGTCATTTCTCCATCTAATAAACCTCTCTGTTCCTCTTTTAATTCATAGACTCTTTCAGATCGGAAG